CAACTGTGAATCGGTTTACACGTAACTCAATTACCAAGGGATCAATGTGGGGCAGTGTTACTCCGGCCAAATCCTAATCATCAAAAGTGATAACCTTGGCTTCATGGGGCCGTTTAGCCAGAGTGAGTTTCTCTTGAGGGTTAGACTTCGACTGAATCGCGTGCACCGCCGATGACATTGGCAGGCTGTATATCATGTGGATCACGCGGGGTGAATGTAAATCCTGTGTCAAGGCTATTGCTTTGGTTGGGTTGCCTTTTCGGGCATGCTGTTGTAGTCGGCCATCTTGTACCAATTTACCGTCGTACAAGGTGAATGACGGTGCTTTGAATTTCTTGGGTAGCCCTGCCTTTGCAAGCCGTCGTACAAAAGGATCATATTGATTGTCATCCGAGCTGTTTCTTCTTCGTATACGCCTTGTACGGGGACTCTCTTTAGAAGAACTGGAAATTTCAGATCGTCCTTTCTTCTTGGGCTCCGAGGATAATGAGTCGGAGTTGCTATCAGTATCTTGTTGTCGGGCTCTAGATCATCGACCAGCTACCCTCATGGGTCGTTCCGGGCCTTGGTATGCAGTTTGTTTGGACTTCGCCACCTCCAAGGCCAAATCCTGACGGAGATGTTCGTTCTCTGCGATCATGTTCTCCAATCTTTGTTCGTTTTGCTTTGCTTGTTCCAGGATTGCTTGCATTGCTTCGTGCTCCGAAATCGAGGGTGAGGCGAAATTCAAGGCACGTCTTGCGACGATAGTCTCTGTTCCAAGCATGTTTATTAGAGTGGTTTCATCTTGCGGTATATGGTCGATAGTGACTGTCGGAGGATCTTCCGTCACGCTCGCCATAGATGTGTTTGAGTATTCCCACAGACGGCGTCAGTTGTGGAGAAGTGGTTTGGAAATACTCTTCTGATCCTGGGGAACGCTCGTGATCCTCTTCTAGTCACCTGAAAAGGAATAAACACTCCGGTCGGGGGTGCCAGAATTATCACTCCGACGGACAAGTCAGTCTCAACGCTCAAGAACGCTTGTATTCTAAGTTTAACACAACAATTCTCACATACCTCTTTCTGGCTGATGTTTCTTCTATTTATATCTTTTCTTCTTTGGGCCTCGGGATTAGATCCATTTCCCACCTCATATTCGGCACATTTTATAATAGACCGATCTTCACTCGGCCCCTTGCTTAATCGGTTATTTGGCCGAGTAGGGTTGGATTTGAGCTTTCGAGCCAATTGCCGAGTGCTTTGAATCTCAACGACTCCCAATTCTCGGCCCCCACAGTTCATAAGGGTAAAATAGTCTACATAATGCTTTTAATATGAAAAAAATGACCTGTTGAAATATAAATTTAAATGGATTTGCTGGGTACCTGGAAAAACTCATTGTCCTGAATGGCTCGATTGTCAGAAACGACGTCATTTGACCTTCTTTTTCTTTCTTTTTTTTTCCCTCTTTACTTCATCTTCTTCTTTCCCCTTGGGCAATCTAAAAAATTAGAAGAAGAAAAAAAAGAAGAAGAAGAAGAGCCCAAAAAAATCAAATAGCCCCAAAATCTAATCTGAGAAAAAAAAAAATCCAAATCAAAATCAAAATCAAAATCTAAAATCAAAACCAATTTCAGCAGTTTTTTTTTTCCCTCTCTACTTTCTTTTTTTCCTTCCCCTGGGCAATCTGAAAAATTAGAGGAAGAAGAAGAAGAAGATGAAGAAAAAGAGCCTAAAAAAATCAAAAGAAGAACTGGAAATTTCAGATCGTCCTTTCTTCTTGGGCTCCGAGGATAATGAGTCGGAGTTGCTATCAGTATCTTGTTGTCGGGCTCTAGATCATCGACCAGCTACCCTCATGGGTCGTTCCGGGCCTTGGTATGCAGCTTGTTTGGACTTCGCCACCTCCAAGGCCAAATCCTGACGGAGATGTTCGTTCTCTGCGATCATGTTCTCCAATCTTTGTTCGTTTTGCTTTGCTTGTTCCAGGATTGCTTGCATTGCTTCGTGCTCCGAAATCGAGGGTGAGGCGAAATTCAAGGCACGTCTTGCGACGATAGTCTCTGTTCCAAGCATGTTTATTAGAGTGGTTTCATCTTGCGGTATATGGTCGATAGTGACTGTCGGAGGATCTTCCGTCACGCTCGCCATAGATGTGTTTGAGTATTCCCACAGACGGCGCCAGTTGTGGAGAAGTGGTTTGGAAATACTCTTCTGATCCTGGGGAACGCTCGTGATCCTCTTCTAGTCACCTGAAAAGGAATAAACACTCCGGTCGGGGGTGCCAGAATTATCACTCCGACGGACAAGTCAGTCTCAACGCTCAAGAACGCTTGTATTCTAAGTTTAACACAACAATTTTCACATACCTCTTTCTGGCTGATGTTTCTTCTATTTATATCTTTTCTTCTTTGGGCCTCGGGATTAGATCCATTTCCCACCTCATATTCGGCACATTTTATAATAGACCGATCTTCACTCGGCCCTTGCTTAATCGGTTATTTGGCCGAGTAGGGTTGGATTTGAGCTTTCGAGCCAATTGTCGAGTGCTTTGAATCTCAACGACTCCCAATTCTCGGCCCCCACAGTTCATAAGGGTAAAATAGTCTACATAATACTTTTAATATGAAAAAAATGACCTGTTGAAATATAAATTTAAATGGATTTGCTGGGTACCTGGAAAAACTCATTGTCCTGAATGGCTCGATTGTCAGAAACGACGTCATTTGACCTTCTTTTTCTTTCTTTTTTTTTCCCTCTTTACTTCATCTTCTTCCTTCCCCTTGGGCAATCTAAAAAATTAGAAGAAGAAAAAAAAGAAGAAGAAGAGCCCAAAAAAATAAATAGCCCCAAAATCTAATCTGAGAAAAAAAAAATCCAAATCAAAATCTAAATCTAAAATCAAAACCAATTTCAGCAGTTTTTTTTTTCCCTCTCTACTTTCTTTTTTTCCTTCCCCTGGGCAATCTGAAAAATTAGAGGAAGAAGAAGAAGAAGATGAAGAAAAAGAGCCTTAAAAAATCAAACAGCCCCAAAATCTAATCTGAGGAAAAAAAATCAAAACCCAAAATCAAAATTAAAATCTAAAATTAAAACCAATTTTAGCAGCAAATTCAACACCAAAAAAAAAAAGAAAAAAAAAAGAAAAAGAGAGAGAAGAAAAAGAAGAATGAGAAGAAAAACAACCCCAATTCCAGCAAAAAAAACCCCAATTTCAACACCAAAACAGAAGCAAAACAACACCAAAATAGTAGCAATTTCAACACCAAAACAACACCAAAATAGTAGCAATTTGAGCAAAAACAAGACCAAAACAACATTTTTTTTTTTTTGAGCTAATCTAAGATGTGATTTTTTAAAGAAAAATCAAACCCATTCTCCTTCTCTGTCCTCGATATGGCTAGATCATGGCTCTCCATTCGGTAAGCAAAGTTATCTTTGGTATCCTCTCTTCCTCTTCCTCTTCCTCCTTCTCTATTTCTCTCTGTTTGTTTGGGTTTGGTTCAACCTTTAAGAGAGAAACGAGAAGTGGAAGGGAAAGAAGAAAAAAAAAAGTTAAAACGACTTCATTTCCGAAAATCGACCCATTCGAGGCAATGAGTTTCGAGCTACAAAATATTTTCCAAATTTAAATGTATGAGACTATAAATCTTCTAAATAGGATTTATAAATAAATCTCTCTAACTTATGTTGGAAAAATAATATTTACCAATAAATCTCATCTCACAAACAAATATTTCAATTAGTCCCAAGTTTTTCTATTAATCTGTTAAGTCCTATTAGTGAAGAGTTTCTTTCCGTGTGGTTTTATTTTTTAATTTTAGTAGAGTTTTGGTGGACAACTATACCATTTTATTAATGTGACAGATATGATGTGATACTCTAATGTGGCAGATATTAATGCGACACTCCAAAAAAATTAAAAATTCCTTAGTGTACTTTTCTTAAATGTGATAACATGACGGGTATGATATAACACTCCAAAACTTTTACTAAAAAAAAAAATAAAAACTCTTTAGTGTAATTTTTTTAAATGTGACAACAAGGGGAGTATGATGTGACATTTCAAAAAAAATAAAATTTCTTAGTGTAGTTTTTACAAATATAACAACGTGACGGTTATGATGTGACACTTTAAAAAAAATTAAAAACTTCTCAGTATACTTTTCCCAAAATATGACATGTGACACTCCAACGTGACGGGTATGATGTGATACTTCAGAAAAATTAAAAACTCTTTAATGTACTTTTCTCAAATGTGACACTCTAACGTGACAGGTTTGATGTGACACTAAAAAACTCTGTAGTGTAATTTTTCTAAATTTGACACTTCAATGTGGTGGATATATGAGTCATTACACATCCAAAAAGACTAAATGGATTACAAGAAAAAATATGAGGCTATGGGTTGGTTTGGCATAAACTTAAAAAGTTAAAAAGTCAAAAAATTACAACGAAAGTTAAAAAGTCCACACTAGTTAGAAAAAGTTTGTGGGGAAAGCCTATAGGTTTTAAAGAGTATTATTTTTGAAAACTTGTCGGGGAAGCTATAGGGCAAATATTTTGCCTTTTGCATTTAATAATTCAAAAGTCAAAAAGTCAATAAGAGTAGAATAATCATTTCAATTTTACTACAATATTTTATTATATATCTTTTTTAAAAAGTCAAAAAATTATTCTAAACATATATATTTATTTCTCTACTTTTTTAGCTAAAAAATTAAAAAATACACTTATTTAAAATATTCCAAACACCCACTATATGAATTATAAATTCAAAATAGTCCCAATAACTTAACCCACTTTTCAAAATAAAAAAATGTAATGAATTCCACAGACATTTTCCCTAAAAACCCTAACCAATTATGGCGCGAAAAGTTCATGAGTCTGTCCAACTGCCAATTTGAGGGTAGCCGTCAAATCTTCCACGCGTAAATGACAATAAAAAAAAATAAAAATAAAAAAAAGCAACAAAAACAGTCGATGTTTTTCACAGAGCACCTGATAGAGGTATTCATTCTTTGAATGTTAGGTCTTGGTTTTTGTTGTTCTTTATGTTGTTGTTTGTTTGATGTTTCCGTCATCGTATTCATTGTATATGCCTGTTTTCTTTTGATGGGTGGGCAGACTTTTACTGTTGCTTTGAATCTTAAATAGTAATCTCCCATTTTTATTGACCTTTGAAAATTATTGTTTGTGTTGGCATTTTCTTGATGTGGGTAGTTAATCTTCTGATTTGATTGATACTCACTTGGGTTTTCTTTATAATTTTGGGAGAAATTATTTCGTGGGTAATCTCTCTTTAGTATTTAAGATTTAGATTTCTTTTGGGATTTTAAAATTTTGATTTCTAATTTGAATTTGTAACTAATTATGCCCTATGAAGCACTGACCCTTCAAAATAAGTGTCGTAGCTATTTGGTGGCGAGGACACTTGGGGACGCCAACTAGTTTCTTTTTTCCTCTTTCTTTAGTGTTTTTTATGGATGTTGGATGTTGAATGTTTATTATTTTTTGCTTAGATTTAAATAGTGATCATCCATAAAAATGATATAAATGATAAGTGTTAATTTAAAATTGAGTGTTTTTTTTTTTTTTTAAATGTCAAATTCATGCAAGTTTTTGTTAATTTTGATTGTTTATGGATGTAATCTACTTAGCAAATAAAAATATATCAAACAATATTTTATTTTTGTGTCCCTGCTGTGTCTATGTCCCCCCTGTTTTTAAAATCATCATATCCCTTGTCTATGTTTGCATCTGTGTTCACGCTCGTGCTACTTAGATTATGCCACTGCAGCCACTCGATTCCAAATGTGTAATGATATATATAAATGTTCAGTTCTCACATTTTATAAGCATCCCTAGCACTGGTTTCAAGTCACAAAAACAGTTTCTCAAAAAATGGGGTGAGGTTGCATACATTTTACCCTCTCCAAATCCCTCTTAAGCAGCAGCCTCAGGCATTAGGTTGCCATAGTTGTATAATCTAATCTTGTCATGATTGTATATGAAGAAACCCTTGCATGGGTCAAATAAGTGATTTTATTTTATTTTTAATTGGATTGCCTTGACAATGGAATCCAAGTCTAGTTTGATCACATGTGATGTGACTGCGTAGTCCTGATAAAGATGAGGAGGAATATATCTTACAAATTGAATGTAGTATTTGTTTTCCTTTGACTAGCAACTGTTCAATATGCAATTTGAGAGTACATTAATTCAAAAATTATGATTTTAATTAATTAATTAACATGCTAATCCAGGCCTTTAACTAGTTTTTACACTTTTTGCTATAGACATGGAACTTTATTAGATAGATAAGTTGTTAAAGTTAGCTAGAGAGACAGTGAAGGGGATTCTTAATAGTTGCTTTCATTAGATATTTATAGATTTGGGAAACTGTGTAGAAACTAAAGCATATTAGGGAAGAACTCTTAAAATAAAAGAGTTGGAATATAAGGGTTTATAATGAATCCAATTATATGGTTACATATCAAGAAAAATCCAAATTACCTTGTGATTTAGGTACAGAGAGGAAAGTGCCCTTATCCATGTGGCATTCTCTCATTGTTACTTTTAGGATCCATAACTTAGGTAAAAAGGGTCATTATTTTAACTTTATATAGCTAGAGGTATCCATCTATGATTATAACTATGTTGTGCTTTTATGTCAGAAGTTAATTTCAGGTTGTCATGGTTTGCATACACGTCATGAATGTAGGAAGAATTTTTTGTTGTACCATGTTGGCCATTTAGGCGTAGCCAACGTTTGTTCCAAGGTAATTGTTGGGGAGTTAGGTATGTACATGCTTTCCAATGTGACTTGTTAGTTGATTTCCTTGGGAACTTACATACTCGAATTTGGCAGTCTTACTTGGAGATTGAGATGGTTTTGAGTGGGGTGGATGACTAGAAACACAAAATTCAGTGGAGAAAAGATTATGCAAGCATATGCCAGTATATATAAAGACTTTGGAGAAGTGTTTTCTTATGTTTGATTTTGAAGAAAAGCGAAAATTGAGTTCTAGAGATAGGAATAATATGGACTCATAGGTTGGGAATTAGTGAATTCTACTTAGAAAGGTGCGAGGCTAGTTCGAAAATGTTTTTTCTGGATGAGTTGTGTTGCAAGTTTGACGTTATTGATAAGACATATAACGGACACCAGAATACTGTAGGTAGAGTTGAAAATGTTGATCATGGGCATTTTGTATCAAGTCCTTCTGGATTTAAGTTATTGCTTTTACAAAACTGGGGTTGGTGTTAAACAAAGAGAGGTCTGGATGATAAGCCAAATATTCTTGAAGTATTAATCTGCAGAAAGCACATGAATTATGAAATACTACAGGCACTGCAGCTTGGAATCAGGTTATTGTCTACCCTCGCCACTGATGGATAAATTAAAAGAAATGTCTCTTTCAAAATCTTGTATTTATGGATTTGAGTCATTGACAATGGCTCACTTTTAACAGTTTTTCAAGCTCTTGGTCATGAATGTTTGTGGAATATTAATTATAAACTTAAGTTATAGTTTATCCAAATAGCTGAATAATTGTTTATTAATTGAGTGCTTCCTCTATTTTTTAATTTTTTTTGTTTGTTGAATATCATCTTTTAAATCATTATACCTTTTTACTTTGTAGGCATTTCGTTGGGCAGTACATGGTATTGCCAAAGAAGGAGCTCTCACCTAATGACTTCAAACCGACCCAAAGTACCTGGATTCAATATTCTAAACAGAACCCTAAAAGTCTTCCTCCAGGCACCGTTACTGACTTTCAGTGGAAAGATTACTGTCCTGCAGTGTTCAGGTTTTTATTTACATTTCATTTTATTTTGATTTCATTTTTTAGGAATTTTTTTTTAATTGACGAAGTTTTTCCTTTTCATTTTGGTTTGGGCATTCCTATTCAGTTTTATCTAATTATTTCACATAACACTATGGGAACGTTTAATCTAATATAGGCTTACCATGATTTGAGCGTTCCCTATTCAGTTTTCTGGTCAGTGCTCGTGCTCGTTTGTATCTTTCTGTAAGTTATGAATTTAGGATATGAATTCACATCTTTATATTTACACTGAAACATTAACTTTGGAGAATCCACTGGATACTTGTTCTTATGAAGCTCAATTGTTTCATGTCTGTTGAAACTATCAACTTTGAAATTTTAAGAAGAAAGAGCTGATTTAGCCTCTATTCCTCAGACATCTACAAGAGCTTGGAAATATTGATTATTCTGATTATGTGCTGTCAGTCTGTGGCCACGAGACTTTAATGGAGATTTCTTCACCTGGGAAAAGCGGTTCCCTGCTTTTTAGGTCCAAGGATGATCGATTTGTGATCAAGACCTTGAGGCAATCTGAAGTGAAGGTAATAAAAACACGAAAGTTTGCGACTCCGCGTATTGCTTTAGTGATCTCTGTTTGGTTTGGTTTGGAATTTTCAAAAACAATTTTAAAAGTTCTCAATCCATATATATATAGTGAATTTTTTTAATATTTTAATAATTTTTTTTTATATTCATTTAATCTAGATATGCATAAAAAGTACGAAATTGGAGCAAAAATCTTTCAAAAATTCAAAAAATATATATAAATTCACTACATTTTTGTATTTTGCTGTATTCAATGAATTTTTAAAAATTTTTGTACAAATTTTGTACTTTCTAAGTGCATCTAGATTAAATGGATCTAAAAGTTATAAAAAAAATAAAAAAATTATTAAAATATTTAAAAAATTCACTAAAATAAAAAAATACAAATTGAAAACTCTGGAAACTATTTTTGAAAACTCCAAACCAAACATCTCTCTCTCATGCACACTGATAAATCCAGAATTATTGTGGAATTACATGCTAAATGAAATGCCTATTTATTAGCATGTGACTTATGAAGTTTATAACTACGATATTTATTCAAGAAAGAGTTTATTTTATTTTATTTTTTTTGAGAATGATATTATTGTTGACACATCTTAAAACAACATTCTCTAACGATACATTTCTATGCTGGTCAAGAGTTTTTTTTTATTTAAGATATTCATTAATGGATTTGTAGGTGTCATTTTTTATTTAAGATATTCACTAATGGATTTGTAGGTGTCATGTTTAGTTACTCTACATCAAAATCGCCAAAAAATAACAAAATAAGAGGAAGTTAATATGCATTGAGAGTGTTCATTTGCTTCTTAATCTTGGGTTATAATTTTGGGAGAATTCCAAAATAATTGCAATTTCATGGAGGTGCAAGTGGGCCTGTGTCTTGTGCAAGTGAAAGTACACAACTCTCACCCGCACCCACTTGCACCTCTATGAAAATGCAATTATTTTGAGTACTTGTTTATTTGCAATTCTCTCTATAATTTTTTAGCACTTCAAGTGAGTTTACTTTCTATTTAGGTGCTCTGTGAAATGCTTCCAAACTACTTGCGCCATGTTGAACAATATGGAGCGTCCTTGTTGATCAAGCTGTATGGACTTCATGCTGTGAGGCCAATTGGAGGTCTAAAGGTAAACGTGATGAAATTGAATTTCTTTGATGCTTTTACTGCGAGGGTATATAATTTTTTTTGTTTTTAATCTGATGTAGTAATTAGTTCCCCCCCCCCCCCCCCCCCCCCCCGCTGAATTATTTACCGTGCTTCAATTAACCACTTTACATGGCTACAGGTTTACTTTGTTGTCATGGAAAATGTATTACAGTCTGATCTGTACATACATAGGTGCTATGATCTCAAAGGTTCATCACAAGGTCGAACCATCAGCAAAGCAGAAGACCATGAGAGAGCCACATTTAAGGATTTGGATCTTGATTTTCTCTTTTATCTTGAGCCCTTGACCCGTCATAAACTTTTAGCGTTAGTTTATCACTCTATTGGTCTCGCTTATCATTACCCTCATTGCAAAGTAACTAAAAATAAATAATTAAATACATAAAGATTGAAAATTGATAATTTGATTGTGGGTTATAAAGGTAGAGAACCCTTGTTTTTTGCTCTTAGTTAATAACTGGAATTTTGTTTGATCTCAGGAAATAGATTTGTGGAAGCAAAAGGGAACTCAATTTTTATGTTTATTATGACAATGCATTACTCAAGTCATTTGAATATGTTATCATAATGATAAAAAAAAAATCCTTGTGAACTTTCAAATTTTATGTAAACTGTTGGCTAACTTTTGAAGCCCATTTTTCTATAAAAATCTTTTATTTGCATCACATTTTTTTTTTGCTGGCATTTTTAACATAGGGAAGGTATGTTACCATTGGACAATTTCCTTGACACGAATAATTTCAGGAATTTTCTTGTAATGTTCTGGATTGATTTGATTCATCTCCTGTCTTGTAAACATGCATTTTAGATACCAACAAGCAATAGGTTTGGAGGATTTATGACAAAAAAATTTCTTGCCCCCCAAACATGAATTCATGGTTTGAATGATTTTTGTCCAATTTGTTCTATAGGCAAATCAAGAATGATTGCAAGTTTTTGGAAGATCAAGGCATCATGGACTACAGTCTTTTGCTTGGAATGCACATAAAAGCTCAAAGTCAAGGTGATGTCGCCCGCTAAATATCCTTCCTACTTTTAATGTATGGATGCTTGCAAACATATTCTCTGATGTCCCCTAACATTGACTTATATGATAAAAATGAAAATGGAAGTACTATTTTATGTAACTTCCCGTAGTTGAAACATATCAGAAGAGAATTAATACAATAATTAGTTTACCTCAGAAGAACTGCATCAGTATGTTCTTTAACCTGATTTTGTGTTCCTTGTCAACTTTAGGGAGCTTTGGTCAGTAAGATTTGGGCAACTCTTTTGTACAGTTCATTGGAGATACACGCCTCCTGATTTATTATAGTTCTAGCTTGATTTTGTAAGGGTTGGCTGGCCCCTTACAGTGGTTTTTGGTCAATAATTAATTTAATTATTAAAAAAAATATTTGGCTTCTATTTGCTGCAATGACTCCTGCACATGGTGTTTGTTTTCTTTTGTTGCTCTCCTATTGCATCTTCTTTATATTCTTCCCCTTGGCCCAACAATTCAGATGTTTCTCATCTACTATTTGTTCAATCGTTAGACATGTTTAGCATTATGGAGCATGACATCTTGATCAGTGCCTAGTTTTCTTCTTGTACAGGCCTCTCTCTCTCTCTCTCTCTCTCTCTCTCTCTCTGTAACGTCCCCAAAATAATACAATAAATACAACCCATACATATATTAAAAGCAGCATGAATCAGAGTAAATAGTCCTTTCATTACATGAAGTTAATAATACAAAAGAGTCTAACATAATTAAATGCCCTATTGACTTACATCCTTTCAAGCCTTGACTTGGTTACACAAAAGGAGACTAGTTCATATACATTTAGCCCTAGGCTTTACAAAAATATACAATTCAGATTAAAGAAGCTCTTGCCCCCAAAATATTCCTCCAAGCTATTGCTTGGTGGAGGTAAGTCACCAACACTTGAAAATGTTACTTCCAAATAGGGTGAGCCACAACCCAGTAGAAATCATCTAGCACAATATATAAAACTTAGCAAAGGTATAAGTACACTATGCATACACAACGTCAGTGATAGAGACATCCACAGTTTATATAATCATAAGGTGCCAATTTTCATTCATTTCATTGCATGAACCAGTTTCATTATCTCTTTAACAATCCAAATGCGACTTCAACTCATTAGTTCTACCATCACATCAATAATGCATGAACACTTTAAACTTCTCTTTCACGGAAATTTTGTCCGCAGGCAGCCATCAAACAGGACCCATGTAAACGTAGGCTATACAAGCACTACAATTGCCATTTTAAAGATATTTCGTCCGCAGGCTAGGCACCCATGTATAATTTCGGGACTTTTACCCAGGACACTCCGGCTAACTTAATTATAATGGAGTCTATCCCCTTTCTCCTCCCAAATAATAATTCATACATATGCAATGTATTTAAACACAACATCAAACAATGGAGCACATCTCCCTTCCACTCCCACATAATCATACATATACAATGTATATAAACACAGTCATATTCAATGATGGACAACAAGAGATTAGTTTCAATTCACCTAATCCTCATACAATTTCTACAACAATCATAGTTATCTTCTACCGATAGCCCAATACAGTTATTTCTAAACAGATATTCAATCTCATGACAGATAATTTATTCAAATTTTCATAGAATGAGTTAATACATAACTTATCCCACCATTCATATCAATACTCTCTCAATTTTACATTCTCAATGACAATTTCAATTATCTCTATAAAATAATCATGATAGTCATTTTAGGGCAAAACTTCCCCTTTTCTAATTATCAATCCAAATATCATTTCCAACCATTGTGACCCAACACCATTTCATTTTCAAAACCCTCATTCATGTGTTTCATGTTTAACAACAATCCCTCTTTCCATACATACTCAAACCCTAGGTTTGCTTACAACACCCTCAACTCACATCATTGTCACGCAAGATACAAATAACTAAGCTAAACAACATATGAAGGTGTAGAAAAGGTCTCTACCCCAAAGGAAGAAGATGCGTCAAACAAGAGAAATTCCAAGAACGCCGAAACCCACTTCTATTCGGATCAAAATGTAGATCTTGACGAGCTCTACCTTTTTCTCAAAGGCACTAGGGTGAAAGATCAACGGATCTAGATGAAATAAGAGAGAAGGTGAATTCTAGAGAGAGAGGCTCAAGAATAAGCTTTTTGAAAAGTTTTAGAGAGAGAGAGATAAAAAAGTAACTCAAAATGTCATCTTCTCGGACTGTTATACGCGCAGTCTGCTCGAGCGTGGAAAGCCCCGCTCGAGCGTCAGCCGCAAGGTTCCGCTTGAGCTTGAAAGTTGACGCTCGAGCGTGGAATGCACATTTCCAGAAGTTTTGCAGACGAAGGTCCCCGCTCGAGCGTGGGAATGGACGCTCGAGCGTCTAATGCACTTTCCTAGTATTTCAGAACTACAAAAGAAATGTTGAGAATTAACAAATCCTGCTTGATCGCAAGAATGGCCGCTCGAGCGAAGGAGCAAAATTTGTAAAGCCCGCTCCAGTGCGAGAATACCCGCTGGAGTAGAAGAGCCAAAATCTGGGCAGTAAAAGTTAAAAAAAAACAAGCAACCAACCTGTTCCAAACGTACAACTACAACCCAATAACCAAAATAAAGGGAAAGACAAGGGAAAGGGAAAGAGATATGAATGACCATTCAAAACCAAACCAACCCGAGTCCGGAATGCAATAAGTAATAGGTCAAAACCGGAATCGCTATAACTCTCGCTCTCTCTCTCTCTCGCTCTCTCCAGTCACGGTGTCCCCTTAAGGAAGGCGAAGATAAGGCACTTTGATGAGTCGTCAACTCTAGTCTCCAAACACAAGTCCTCTCGCGATCACTAGTGTGGGTGATCAGTTGCTTGAGCATCCCATAATCGAGATATCCCAAGAGCTTTACTAGATCCTGCTTCTGAACTAGGCTAGCACAACAATGTCAGGGTGCCCTTTGGAGCATACATTATAGGAGAGATGTTTGCTTGGTTGGAGAGCCAATTGGCTTAAACTGAGGAAAGTCGAGCATGAGCCATGAAGGGAGGGCATCCACGACTGGAGGGTGAACATGCCTAACACTTGGACTATTCAACCGCCAGACTGGGGTGGCCAATTGCATCGGGTCTAGGTCAAAGCCTTGGTTTGCTTTTGAATCAACTTGGATGCCCTCCTATTGGGTTCATACCTCTCTACATACATATAAAAATATTATGAACCTCTCTACATAAATATAAACATAGTATAGTTCTCTCTCTATACATAAATCCATGTATTTGAGATGCTAACTTCAACTACGGATTTAGGGATATCATGGGAAAAGTACTATTACTTGTCAAATTTGAGGGAAAAATAATCAGTTCAATCATTCAATTCAATCAACCGCTAAGCCATCTGAACAAATCATAATGTATAGGGGATTTCAGAGCCTCTGGGGAGGTCAGTGCAATTTTCCCTTCTTGTTATGACTCCATTCTAAATGGAGTTGCTTGTAAGTGCCTTTGAAAATGAAATGGAAGGACTTCAAATGTAGGTTTGATCTATTTAATCATATAAAGTCATGGGGAAAAAGCTTTACAATGTTACCATGCCATGCTTCGTGTATCTTCTCGAGGGGATGCGTGCATTTTGATAGCATTAAAATCTACATAGTTCACAATTTCTTAACGTCTTGTAGGTCCTTTTTTGTTCTCCTGCAGGTTCCAACAACACAACTCGTAGTGACACCGTACAAGGATGTAACGACTCTGAATGGGCTCCTGCTGATATTTGCCTAATTCGTAACAGGTAAAATGGCCTTTTCGCAGATTAAAATAAGTTCCTTACTAGGAAATTTATTTATATAAATTATTATTATTTTCCTAAAAAATTTTAGAGTCTTTTGCTGGTTCAACTCAACTTGGGTTTCTCTAAACCAAAAAATCAAAATGACACCCTACCTCTGTTCTTTGTCCAATCTAGAAGCGAACCAAAGATGGTATATAATGGACTTAAACCAAGTCAAGTTGGTTGCGTTAAGTACGTGCGTTGGGTCTGACAAATCTGATTAGATGCTATTAAAACCCTCTTATTATCAAATACTAAGAAATCACGCCTGTGTGTATTGGTTATTTTCATACTAAAGACACTTAGAAGTTTTATTATGACATTTTCACTAAACAGAGGAGGTAAAAAAAGGATCAGAATCTGTCTGACATAATAGTTTTAAGAATTGAATAAATTGTAAAATGTAAACCGAATTGTGAATCGATTATAGATTCTATCCCAAAAACTCGTAGATTCATATCTTTTTATGATAAATTGCAAATTGAATCGTAAGATTCTAATAATAGAGGTTTTTGTTTTATGTTCTTCATACTGTGTATATATATATGTATACACATGTTGGTGGTTGGGCAAGCAGGGAGGGATAAAATGCCATTTTGACTTATGTTTCAAATTTTATCAAAACTGAAACAAATGTCATTACGATATTTTTGTTTGAAATGTTATCAGAAGTAAAAAAAAAAAAAAGATCCATCGTTGTTGTTGTTTTTGTCTTTTTTGGTGGCGATAGGTAAACTCCAAATGATCTGTTATACAATGCAGGAGAGTATATAACAGAATAGGCATGTGTTAACGGGTGCCCTTGGGGCATTGTCATAGAGCATCGGGTTAGGGTTGAAAAGTGTTTTGGAAATAGATGGAAAGGTTAAAAAGAATCTAGAAAATCATTGAAAAGTGGATTGCTAACTATGTTCTTTGAAACATGCTATTGGCAATGAATTTCCAACTTATAAAAACATCAATTAAGAATACTGAAACTTAGTCAAATTCAATAAAAGAAAAGTAATTTGGATCAATAAAGATACAATAAAAATAAATGTGTAAACAATCCGATAACCCATTGCTCAATTTTCAACAATTCTCTGCCGCTGTTTGTTGCAGGCCTGATGCTAAATTTGGAGTGAAGATGCCAGCACGTGCCGTCAGAGTACGTAGAAATGGAAAAGACGACATGGCATTGGACCAAGAGGTTGAAGGGGAATGCTTCAATGTTTTGTTGTACTTCGGAATAATAGATATTCTTCAAGGGTACAACATGAGGAAGCGCATCGAGCATGCTTGCAAAGCAATACAGTATGATTCGGTGTCAATCTCAGCCGTAAGTCCCAAAGTATATTCGGCTCGTTTCCAGGATTTTCTTTTCAAAGTATTTCAAGAAGAATTGTGACCTTGGTACCTTTTCACAGAGAGTAAAATCAATATTTTCATCTATGAAGGTTTCATAGAAATGATCAGGTTGTAACACTCAACAAAAAGTTCATTATGTGACCAAAAATCATAATATTGATATCATATTTTTTTCATTGTTGAGGTCTTATATATGCATATCCTTCATTAGTTAATAGACGGTAAAATGTCTTCTTCTTTTTTTTTTTTCTATTTTTTTATTTGGGTAAATTACACTAACTTCCCTTGAGGTTTAAAAAAATACACCAAACTTTACAAGTATGACATAATTACATTTTACTCCATTAAGATTTTAACTCTCATATAACACTTTTGTGTATTTTTCATCTATCATTCGTTCATCATATAAATAAAAAAAAATGATATTATCATACTTTTAACCTAAAATATATATTTTATCATTAATTATTTTTGTATTTACACACTATCTGTATTAGTTTTTTTATTTAGCCTTACTAAAGGGCATGGTTGGTGTAACCGTGGAAAATTTATGGGATTTTTTTTTTTGTTTTGTTTTGTTTTGATATATGGCCATATAGATCATACCATAGATGATGAAATATAACCTAGTAACGGTTGGACAAGGTTATGCAATACATATATATACATGTGGTCCTGAATTTACTGCAACCTTTCATGTTTGTAATGGATTGTGTGGTCATATGGTTTGTCAATTCATGAACAAAAAGATGTTTGTATGTTTTAGAGGGCAACCATGAAGGGCCTCAATCATGGACCATGCTTATTAGATGTGAACAACAAGATGTTTTGTGACAAGGATGTGGAGTTATGAAAGAATCCAATTTTATTCATTCATTTATTAAGAGGGAGAAAATTATCTTCTTATTTGATTGATTTTTATTATTATTAGAATTTACTATTTTGGACCTCACTTAAAATAGTGAATTTAATAAAAGAATCAATCACATAGGAAGTTAATATTTACCCACATGAATGAATATTATTCTCCCCCATTACTTATAATGGATCCAATAAAATATCAATCTTCTATTAGAATTCATTATTTTGGAGCTCACTTAAAACCATGGATCCAATGAAAAAATCAATTACATAGGAAGGTAATATTTATCTAGATTGGTTCTTTCACTTAAGTCAATTGCTTTATATCTGGATCTAATCAGAATTTTTTTTTAAAAATCAATCAAAAAAGAAAAGTTTTATGTGATTAATTTTTAAAGAATCAATCATATAAGAAGATAATGTTCACACCTATTTGGTGAGTGACCAAATTTGTGACACTCTGCACTAAATGGATGATTGTGATAGTTCATTGGGAGGTGATGTTTAGATGCACATATAATCAATGGAAGGTAGAGTCTTCACATCAATGTGAGGCCACCCTTGAATGGGCCTCAACAACACTCAATTTGTTGATGCCCACCTTTAGATTAATTAGGTTAGCACAAGTCCATGCTCTTCTTTCCGTCATATATTTATTTTATTTTGTTTTAACTAAAATCATGATCTAATAAAACTCACTTTAGTTCTAGAGCACTAACTCATCATGTTGATATGATATTCTCTTATTAATAAGAGTAGTAGTTATAGAATGAATAGAGTTGACTTGACTTATTTTGATTGATTAGGTAAAAGACAAAGTCTGTCTTATTGATATCTTTTCACGTTGACTCATTAATTGAGAGTACTACAATCATATCATATTGAACTTCTGAATAATTTTTTGAAAAGTAAGTGTGATGGAAGCTTGTCGTTGGTTGTGTTAAATGGATGAACTATGGGAGTTGAGATGAAAATGTTAAGCTGAGGTGGTCCATTTAGGTACAAAGATAAGTGGTCCTTTCAACAAATTGTATTCCTTTTTGTCCCAAACATAACATGCTCTTGTTTTTTTATATATATTAAGGCCTTGTTTGTCATAACTTAAAAAAGTTAAAAAATTAAAAAATTAAAAAATTACTATTTTTTAAGTCATATCATCTTATTTAAATCATATCATTTCTCTATCACATCACTTCAAATCCAACTCATATTTCATAAAAAATCAAAAAGTACACTTATTTTGATCATTTCAAACCACCCCGTAGTACAGGTAATAGTGAATAACAAAATTAAGAAATGAAAATTTGTTTAATATTTTGAATAGGGATAGTACACAACTAAATCAAGAAGTGAAAATTTGTTTGTGACCAATTGGTCTAATCGACGAGGATGAGGCACTATTTTACCAGATTTTCCTTACTCTTATTTGCTTTCTACTTATTGTAAATAATTTTATTTAAAAAAAAAAAAATACTGATGAGATTTAAATGATAAGCTATTTATTTCATGTAAGTCCTACCAAACTTTATTATAAGGAGGGGTGGTAAATGAATCAAACAGTTTAAGTTCAATTTATGTTTGACTCGTTAAAAGCTCTTTCGATCTCAAACTTAAACTCATTTTAGAATTCGTTAAAATTAGGGGTGCAACTTAGACGGATTCAACCTGAACAACCCGAACCCAGCCTGAATTTTTTTAAGTCTTGGACAAGATATTTTCAAATTCGATACGGGCTTAGGCAAAGACATCAAACAATTCAAGCAACCCGAAACCCGAATTATACATATATAGATATATAAAAATATTATATATATATATATATATACAAATTATTAGCCATTACATGATATTAAATTAATTTAGATTATTAAATCATATTGAATATGTATTATATATATAAATAACATAAAATCTTACTTTTATTTTTTTATTTTTTATTTTCACTCATAAATTGTAGTGTCATCTCTCTTACATTATATAAATTATTTGTTTTGATGATATTAATGATTTTCTATATATAAAAAAAATGTAAATATAGTCAAATTTTAATAATTTAATAATGTAGCTACAAAAAAAAAAAATACAATTCGGGCAACTCAGACAATTCAGGTTTAACTCGGGTCGGGTTTAGACATGCAACCTTGGGTTACAATTCGGGCTTGGGCGGGCATAGGTAGATCTCAGCACAATTTAGACTGGGCTTGGATAACCTCCCAACCCGACAGAACATGTCCGAGTTGCACCCCTAATTAAAGTTTTTAAACCAAACTTGAATAATTTGTTCAGCTTAGTTCAATAAGTTTAAAACTATATAAAAATATCAAATTACTCAAGCTCAACTTGACAAAAAATTTATTTGTGATTGGTTCAAAAGTTTAACAAACCAAAGTTGAATAAATTTTAAAATTCATTAAAATTTTCAAATCAAACTTGAACAATTAATTATTTAGCTCGGTTATCATCCCCAACTACAATGCCTAGACAACTACTGCACTTGTTTTATTTTTTGCCAAATGCTTGATAGAAAAAAATTGTAAAAAAAAAAAAAATCAATGCCCCACCAAATGAGAAATAGAGAAATTAATAACAAATTAACAAAATGCAATTAGTTTGTATTGGACACATTTTATTTATTTATTTATTTATTTTGACATTAATTTCCCATTTTTTATTTATCTAATATGTCCCCAAGGAATTGAAATGAAATAAAGTTGATTGTGCCTAAAATACTCTAAATTGCCAAATTCAACGGAAAAATTAGTTTCTAAAAAACAACTGGGGGGGGGGGGTTATTACAAATTTATGATAAAACTTATAATTTTAATTTGCTAATATTTATAATGTTTATCATTCATTTGTAATTACTTTTTTCTGATCTCCACTATTAAGTAATTTTCAAAAAAAACAAAAAACAAAAAATAAAAAAAAGATAACAGGTGTGTTTGGTTTGGTTTTGAAAGATAAATTTTCAAAAAAGATTTTGAGGAGCAAGTTTATAAATTTTTTGGTTTGTTTGGTTGTATATTTTGAAAATAGTTTTGAAGTATGAGAGTTTGAGATTATTTGATGTTTTGTTGTAATTCAGTAGATGTACGTGAGAAAAAAAGTAATTGAAAATGAGAGATGAGAGAAAAAAAATAATTAATTAATGTACAAGAGAGAAATTTTTCCAAAATCACTAAATCAAACAAAATTGGTCAAAAGCAAATCAAACAAGGCCAACAAGTTGGCATTACCATTGAGACTATTTAAAGTTTATTTTATTTTATTTTTTTGAGGTGTGGGGGACATAAATGACGTTAATCATATAGTAGCTAACTACTAGATATCATAGCAAAGATGAAGATCAAATATATATATATATAGCACCTAAATTGCCAGTCCATGGACCACACACAATTGGTCCCCTTCTTAGCTTCATTGCACTTTTCCGGTATTTATGCACACTTCGGCTTCTAGGAAACTGCTATTAGTTCATAGAAATTACAAGTTATATCTCTTACCATTCACAATGTAACTTTTGGACTCTTCACCACATGCATCTTACCATAAAATATAAAATTTTGTAATATTAATCACAAAATATATAATCTTATCATAAATTAGCATAACAAAATATTTAAAACTTTTGAAATTGATGTTACAAAAGTTTGTCACTTGGTTACAATATTTTTTGTTAAGTCAATTTGTAATGATATTACGTATTTTGTGATTAATGTTATAAAATTTTATGATAAAATTACACATTTTGTGATAAGTTGCTTATGATATACACGTTTTAAAGAATACACAGCATTTCCCTATCAATAGTTATCACACAACTTAATTGATTATTACTTATTGTATTCAATTTTAAATACGGAATGAAATTATCAAACACCATACTTAATATTTATTGATCATTAGGACTTCAAATGAGCATAACCGTTTGTCAATAGACTCGAGCTCGGCTTGGTAAGGGTTCGTTTGAACTCAGTTCGTTAAATTTTTTTTTGCGTTCAAGCTCCAGCTTGTTAAATTTTTAATAAACAAGTCCAAATATTCTAAAACTCTACTTGTAAGTTCGGCTCATTTAATATTTATTATTTATATATTAAATAATGTAAAAATATGTATAAAAAATAAGATAAATATGTAGTTATATATTAAAAAAATATAAATGTAAATAATAGTGGTAGTAGATATTATTATTTTGATGAAATATTGGCTTTATTTTATTTTATTTTTATAGAATGTTTATATATATTTCATATATAATTGTATAATTAAAATTTTAATTATAACTGTAATCTCATACGTAAGTATGAATTTATAAATTTTTTAGTTTGTTAAGGATCGTAAACAATCTCGAGTTCGAGTCAAGTCTAAGTCAACTGAGCTCGAGCTCAGTTCGTTAAATTTTTATTGAGCTCGAACTTATTAAAATTTTAATAAACAAGTCCAAACATACTAACGTTCGATTCGATTCGACTCGTTTACAGCCCTATTAATCATACAAACGTACATAAAACTTTATTAACAAATCAAAAATAAATAAAAAATGGAAATTCAAATAGTGTTTGGATTTAGTGGACCTATTTTGAGGTTAATCACAATAATTTAAACTATTTGTTTTTTAAGACTCATTAAATAAAATATTTATATAAAAAATTAAGATGATTGGACATTAGTAACTATATGTTTTTAAATCACATTTGTATTATAAAAAAAATTGATTATTCTTAAAATTATAATTTTCTTTATTTTTTTTAAAGATATCCAATCATTTTAATTTTTTACATAAATATTATATTCAATGAGTCTTAAAAAATAAACAAATAAAAATAGATCCACCAATCCCCAAGTTCTCTAGTACTAGTTCACATCGGATTAATTTTTTTACTCAAATTTTGAATTAAATTAAATGAAAAAATTAGTGAATAATTGAATAGGCTCTGAGAGTGTAAAAGTTGTCATAAAGAAAAAAGAAAAAAAAAGAAAAGAACGAGAATGTGATAAAAAGAGTGCAATCAAGAGAGTTTGGAATCTGCTGGGCACTGGGCAGAAAGAATATAGGTGTGTGTATATTTTTGGTGTTGAGAAAGAAAGTTGAGTTTATTTCCGTTATCAAAAAAACAAAGAAAGAAAGTAGAGTCAGTGTGAAAGAAAGATGGGGACATAGAAGAACTCCAAGCAGCTCAACCTTTTAGAGAGAGACGGAGAGCAATGGTAGGAAAGACAAATGCTCTTTTCTATCAGGAAAAAAAGAAAAGCAATCAAGAATTTTGAAATTTGAAATCTAGGGAGAGAGAAGAAAAAAAAGTAAGAGAGAGAAAAAGGGGAAGAAAAAGGAGGAGGAATTGATGCGGAAAAAAACTTTATTACCAATTCAAAAATAAATAAAAAATGGAAATTCAAATAGTGTTTGGATTTAGTGGACCTATTTTGAGGTTAATCTCAATAATTTAAACTGTTTGTTTTTTAAGACTCATTAAATAAAATATTTATATAAAAAATTAAGATGATTGGACATTAGTAACTATATGTTTTTAAATCACATTTGTATTATAAAAAAAATTGATTATTCTTAAAATTATAATTTTCTTTATTTTTTTTAACGATATCCAATCATTTTAATTTTTAACATAAATATTATATTCAATGAATCTTAAAAAATAAACAAATAAAAATAGATCCACCAATCCCCAAGTTCTCTAGTACTAGTTCACATCGGATTAATTTTTTTACTCAAATTTTGAATTAAATTAAATGAAAAAATTAGTGAATAATTGAATAGGCTCTGAGAGTGTAAAAGTTGTCATAAAGAAAAAAGAAAAAAAAAGAAAAGAACGAGAATGTGATAAAAAGAGTGTAATCAAGGGAGTTTGGAATCTGCTGGGCACTGGGCAGAAAGAATATAGGTGTGTGTATATTTTTAGTGTTGAGAAAGAAAGTTGAGTTTATTTCCGTTGTATCAAAAAAACAAAGAAAGAAAGTAAAGTCAGTGTGAAAGAAAGATGGGGACATAGAAGAACTCCAAGCAGCTCAACCTTTTAGAGAGAGACAGAGAGCAATGGTAGGAAAGACAAATGTTCTTTTCTATCAGGAAAAAAAGAAAAGCAATCAAGAATTTTGAAATTTGAAATCTAGGGAGAGAGAGAAGAAAAAAAAGTAAGAGAGAGAAAAAGGGGAAGAAAAAGGAGGAGGAATTGATGGGGAAAAAGTTGAAACGCGGCATTTTGGTGGGGAAAAGAGTGGGGACTAGTACTCCTCCACCCACATGGAGATTTGGGTTTTCTCAACTTGATGGTTCTCTCAACCAAAAACCCATTTTCTCTACAACCACAATTTCTGCTAGAAAGCTTGGTGCCAACCTCTGGGAGGTCCTGCCCCACCACAACCCCACGGCGGCGAAGATGAGCAAGAGTGGTGGTGCTAGGCTTCCCCACCGCCGCAACAACCACCACAAGGACAAGGGTCTTGAAATTCCTACCCAACTGGATCAAGTAGTACCTCCTCCTCCTCCTGATAGCCCCCTTGAGGAGGTATAACTGGACTACCATTAATGAGAAGTTTTGATGATTGTTTTTTTTTAGAATGTATGCATTGTTTTGTGGGTTTTTGTTTGTTTTGGGTTTTTGGTTTTGACCTAGCATACCTACCTGGTTGTCTTATGTTTTTTTTTGGGCTGTGTTGTATATTTCATTTGGTTAGTGACTATTCTGTGATTTGTTAGCTGTTTCTGGATGATGGGTTTAATTAGGAATCATCACTGCAAGATGTTGAAATTTATTTCTCAAATGTTGGCTGTTAAGAACTTATTTCCCTATTCATTCATGAAGTCTTGTTTTTAAAACTTAACTTTAGAAATACTTCAAAAGTTTTACGATTAATTGAAATTGTAATGTGGGTTTCCAAAATGTGGCCCGGGTGGAATTTTGTTTTGTTTTGTGATTTGATTTATTTGCTTGAGTTTTTCATAATTTTTGCAGTTATCATTCAAGAGAAAATCATTTATGTTGATTTCCCTTTTATATATATATATATATATAATGTTTTTATTTAATTCATTTTCTTTATTTTTTAGCTTCATAAATTTTCATTTGTAGTTTTTATAATTTATTGTCTTCATCATGATACTTTGATGGCATTTCCATTGTAATATCTTCCAATTTTGGGGATTACATTTCAAGTCCTATTGAAAAGGTTACTTCTTCAAATTCATGCGATCTTTATATTGTTTTTTGGGCTGTAAGATTCATATGTCATCTAATAAAAGTGAAATCTACCCTGTTTTACCATACATTGTTGTAAGATTCACATGTGTTCATATAGGTTACTAGATTGTTGTCTTTGGTTGATTTGAGTTGTTTGCTTCAATGGCCCACTGCTTGGTTGTTATGATGACCTGTCTGTAATCCATATTGTTCATTTCTCTTCGTCTAAAAAATCACTAGGTTTTGACTTGTGAGCTTGTATTCCGATCCAAGAGGTTGCCAATCTAGTGAACACCTGGGAAGAATTTCCACAATTTGTTTGTGATTTTATTCTTTTGGTGCCATGGGACTCTTAAGTCCTCAAAGATGGTCCTTGTCAGTTGGTATTGATCTTTTACCCTTCTTGTGTTCTAGCCATCAAGTTCAAGTAGTTTGCGAAGACATGTTGCAATGTCATTGATTCAACATCATCGCTCAGTTGAAAGAAATGGTCATGCACTACAGCCCGTGTCGCCTACAAGTTATAGTAGCTCAATGGAGGTAATAAGCCATTCGTTTATGTAAATAATCTCTTTATCTTTTCTAATAAAACGTATCATTTTTAAAGAAAAATTTATTTGCTCAACAATTGCTGAATGACGTGGAGGTCCAAGAGCAAGTAGGATGTGTTCTCGCGTAAACTGGGGCTTTATCCCTGCTCTTAACGCAATTAACCAGTTCACTTGGAAATTTAGGGTTTTTACCGAGATAAATACTAAAAGTGAGTTCCAAGACTTATATAAAGTGCAACTACAATGGAAAAAGACACATTGTTAAGTCTTCAATGAAAAATCACTGTCACCTGTTTTTTCCACTCTTTGAATTGATTGATTTTCAGAAGAGTGAGACTCCACTGCATGCATATTCTCCTTGCTTTCTTTGAATCTAGCTCCTACTAATTTTGTAAAGTCGAACATAGACATGTCACTCCTTTTTTATCTTAATTTTGATAAACCGGTGTAAAATCTTTTCAACTTACTTTAGAATTCCTTGTAAATTGTAGTAAAAAATCTGTGTCCGTAACTCCTATATGAATTGTGAGGCAGCTGCTGAATTCTACATAGGAATATCTTTTAGTTAAGCTTCAAATATTGATGATTTGAATCGGGTGGGGTCAGCTAGATGAATCATTTTTTGTCATTCCATTCTGTCAAGGGCTATATGGTCACTTAAATTAAATAAATTCATATAATGTTTCAAAATCTCATTTTGTTCCTCACAGGTAGCACCATATAACCCTGCAGTCACTCCCACTAGTTCTCTAGACTTCAAGGGTCGGATTGGAGAGTCAAGTTTCAGTCTTAAAACATCCACAGAGTTACTCAAAGTACTCAATCGAATCTGGAGTCTTGAAGAACAACATGCATCCAATACGTCATTGGTGAATGCGCTGAAAAGAGAACTGGATCATTCCCGAGGGCAAATCAAAGAGTTACTACGAGAGAAGCAAACAAACCGGCAGGCAATGGATGACTTAATGAAGCGAGTTGATGAGGATAAAATTGTTAGGAAGAACAAGGAGCAAGATCGAATAAAAGCTGCAGTTCATTCGGTGAGGGAGGAGATAGAAGACGAGCGGAAATTAAGAAAGCATTCAGAAGCACTTCACAGGAAGCTAGCTCGAGAGCTTTCTGAGTTGAAAGCATCCTTCTCTAATGCTACAAAAGAACTTGAAAGAGAGAAAAAAGCGCGAATTTTGTTGGAAGACTTGTGCGATGAGTTTGCTAGGGGAATAACAGATTATGAACAAGAGGTACGGTCCTTGAAACACAAGCCCGAGAAGGATCATATTCATAGGGAAAGCCCTGATCGGTTGATTCTCCATCTTTCTGAAGCATGGCTAGATGAGCGGATGCAAATGAAGCTTGATGAACCCCAATACAATCTTGCAGAAAAAAACACCATTGTGGACAAGTTAAGCTTCGAAATAGAAAACTTCCTCCGAGCCAAAAAGCCAAAGGAAAGTAACTTTCGTAGGCATTCTTTGGAGTCGTTTCACTTGAATGAGGCTACAAGTGCTCCTCATAATGCAGATGAGGAGGAGGATTCCATTAATAGTGACTCACATTGCTTCGAATTGAATAGGGCTTCGAGTGGAAAGCAAAGTGGCAGCTCCAAACAACTTGGGGAAAATGGAGCTGAAGACACAGTTGAAGTGAAAAGTTCTCAGAAGATTGAAATAAGTGAAGTTGCAAAAGGTATGCGGGAAAAAAAGAATAAAAGGGTTGGGAACCCTGGAGTGAATTTGAATCATATGCTGAATAACTCGATTAGAAATCATTCATTGTTGTTGGAAGGTGGGAAACTTCACGCAGTGAATGATCAGTCAGCACATACGGGTCATGCTAGTCCGGTGCAACGGTGGATGTCAAGAATCACAGCTCCAGATATTGAAGTATCTGAAACTTCTTCAAGATGTGCCCACGGTTTGAAACAAAACACCTTGAAGGCAAAGCTACTTGAGGCCAGGTTAGAGGGTCAGCGGTCTCACTCAAAACCATCCAAGAGTTCTTCGTAGGTTGATTCAACTGTTGTTATTTGCTTTCTGACAAATAATTTTCTGGTTTTGTGAATATCGGCCGATATCCTTCTGCCTAAATCGGGTATTGCAGTTCAGTAATTTTCATAATAGGTGACATGTTTATCTTTTCTTTGTAATTTTGGAATTATGTCTGTACATGAGAAATTAATGTATTGTTAGCCACATAGTTACTGAGATCAAGTAGATTTCAAGTACAAGTAGTATTTTGATTTGATACACTTGATATCAGCTCCATTGTGCATTTCTCAAGTTCAATGTCTATGGAATTGTTCAACAACATTACCTTGCATCTTAGAAACATTTTTGTAATTCACTTTTTTATTTTTATTTTAATTTTTTTTAATATTGCTTGGCTGCGTTGTATGTGTTCAGCTATCTTTATCTGTAAACTTGCAGAAGTAGCAAATTAGTTTTGAAGTGTATGTGTTCAGCTATCTTTATCTGTAAACTTGCAGAAGTAGCAAATTAGTTTTGAAGTGTTACGTGGTCATATCTCACATTAATTACAATTAACTATGTCTCTTTATATTTTATAATCACTCAATACAAATTTGTAGGTTATATATTTTTTCACCAATTACAACACCATTGAGATATCACGTGATGGTCCTTCAAAATTAACCAACAAGTTCCCCTCAAGTATTGTTCTTAGCATTTATGGCAAAGGTTTGAAAAAATGTGAACGGAATATCATTGTGTTGAAAAAACACAGAATGTTAGTTTGAAGTTTGGCTCATGACTTATTGTCTCATTATGATTTGATGATGTCTGGTTTTGTACCTTGAGGCCTTCCGGCATGATTTGTTTTCTCAAGTAAAATATTTTTTATAAAAATATCTAAACATAATTCAATAAATAAAAAAATAGAAAAATATACTACATTTTTGAATTTTTTTTTGTTGTATTTAGGCCTCGTTTGGCAAGTGGTGATTTTAGTCAAAAAGTCGCTAAAAAAATCAAAAAATCAACAACTTATACTAAAATGTCTAATATTTCATTTTTTCTCTATTTTTTGTACATTTTTTCATAAAAAACTAAAAAGTCATTCCAAACATACTAGTTTTGTTTTACATCATATTTTAGCCAAAAAGTTAAAAAGTTACTAAAAAAAATATGTTCCCAAACGAGGCCTTAGTGAACTTTGTGAAGATATTTTTCTTAAATTTGTATTTTATAAAGTATATCTAAAAAATATAAAATTTTAATTAAATTATCAAAATAATAAAAATATAGGAATTAAAAATTAAAAATTATTTTTTGAAAACTCTATCACCAAACGATAAAGCTTGGGAGCTCGAATGAGCTCCCCCCCGAATCCCCCGAAAATGGAAACAGAGGGAAAAGAGGGTGAAGACAAGAGAGAGAGAGGGAGAAAGAGAGAGGAGAGGGAAACAGAGAGAGAGAGAGGGAGAGAGAAGCTCGGCCGATCGTCGCAGCAGCTACTTGGGGAAAATGGAGCTGAAGACACAGTTGAAGTGAAAAGTTCTCAGAAGATTGAAATAAGTGAAGTTGCAAAAGGTATGCGGGAAAAAAAGAATAAAAGGGTTGGGAACCCTGGAGTGACTTTGAATCATATGCTGAATAACTCGATTAGAAATCATTCATTGTTGTTGGAAGGTGGGAAACTTCACGCAGTGAATGATCAGTCAGCACATACGGGTCATGCTAGTCCGGTGCAACGGTGGATGTCAAGATTCACAGCTCCAGATATTGAAGTATCTGAAACTTCTTCAAGATGTGCCCACGGTTTGAAACAAAACACCTTGAAGGCAAAGCTACTTGAGGCCAGGTTAGAGGGTCAGCGGTCTCACTCAAAACCATCCAAGAGTTCTTCGTAGGTTGATTCAACTGTTGTTATTTGCTTTCTGACAAATAATTTTCTGGTTTTGTGAATATCGGCCGATATCCTTCTGCCTAAATCGGGTATTGCAGTTCAGTAATTTTCATAATAGGTGACATGTTTATCTTTTCTTTGTAATTTTGGAATTATGTCTGTACATGAGAAATTAATGTATTGTTAGCCACATAGTTACTGAGATCAAGTAGATTTCAAGTACAAGTAGTATTTTGATTTGATACACTTGATATCAGCTCCATTGTGCATTTCTCAAGTTCAATGTCTATGGAATTGTTCAACAACATTACCTTGCATCTTAGAAACATTTTTGTAATTCACTTTTTTATTTTTATTTTAATTTTTTTTAATATTGCTTGGCTGCGTTGTATGTGTTCAGCTATCTTTATCTGTAAACTTGCAGAAGTAGCAAATTAGTTTTGAAGTGTATGTGTTCAGCTATCTTTATCTGTAAACTTGCAGAAGTAGCAAATTAGTTTTGAAGTGTATGTGTTCAGCTATCTTTATCTGTAAACTTGCAGAAGTAGCAAATTAGTTTTGAAGTGTATGTGTTCAGCTATCTTTATCTGTAAACTTGCAGAAGTAGCAAATTAGTTTTGAAGTGTATGTGTTCAGCTATCTTTATCTGTAAACTTGCAGAAGTAGCAAATTAGTTTTGAAGTGTTACGTGGTCATATCTCACATTAATTACAATTAACTATGTCTCTTTATATTTTATAATCACTCAATACAAATTTGTAGGTTATATATTTTTTCACCAATTACAACACCATTGAGATATCACGTGATGGTCCTTCAAAATTAACCAACAAGTTCCCCTCAAGTATTGTTCTTAGCATTTATGGCAAAGGTTTGAAAAAATGTGAACGGAATATCATTGTGTTGAAAAAAACATGATGTTAGTTTGAAGTTTGGCTCATGACTTATTGTCTCATTATGATTTGATGATGTCTGGTTTTGTACCTTGAGGCCTTCCGTCATGATTTGTTTTCTCAAGTAAAATTTTTTTTATAAAAATATCTAAACATAATTCAATAAATAAAAAAATAGAAAAATATACTACATTTTTTAATTTTTTTTGGTTGTATTTAGGCCTCGTTTGGTAAGTGGTGATTTTAGTCAAAAAGTTGCTAAAAAAATCAAAAAATCAACAACTTATACCAAAATGTCTAATATTTCATTTTCTCTCTATTTTTTGTACATTTTTTCATAAAAAACTAAAAAGTCATTCCAAAAATACTAGTTTTGTTTTACATCATATTTTAGCCAAAAAGTTAAAAAGTTACTAAAAAAAATATGTTCCCAAACGAGGCCTTAGTGAACTTTGTGAAGATATTTTTCTTAAATTTGTATTTTATAAAGTATATCTAAAAAATACAAAATTTTAATTAAATTATCAAAATAATAAAAATATAGGAATTAAAAATTAAAAATTATTTTTTGAAAACTCTATCACCAAACGATAAAGCTTGGGAGCTCGAATGAGCTCCCCCCGAATCCCCCGAAAATGGAAACAGAGGGAAACAGAGAGAAAAGAGGGTGAAGGCAAGAGAGAGAGAGGGAGAAAGAGAGAGGAGAGGAGAGAGGGAAACAGAGAGAGAGAGAGGGAGAGAAGCTCGGCCGATCGTCGCAGCAGCTCGGTCTCCGCCTCGCCTCCGCTGCGCCTCCGCCCCTGGTTTATGCCCCCTCCTGTCCAGTTCTCCCTTCTCCCTTCTCCATTCCCTTCTTCTTCTCCCTTCTTCTTCTTCGTTTCTGATTCAACCAAAAAAAAAAATAAATGGAAAAACGACGTTGTTTTTGAAATTAGGGGCATTCGGAGGGGCTGGTTTCGAGCTACGTAGCATTACTCATCACCAAAACTCAAACTACCATTGCGGTTTTGCTCTTTCATGTACATTAAACCTTTTGTCTGACAAATTATGGGTTAATCCTATGTAATAAACTTAAATATGTATAAATTTGTATATGTATTTTTAATAGGAAAAATTATTCATAAATCTCATTTGGAGAAAAGTTATTCCATTTAATCTTAAAAGTTTTCTTTCAAACCAATTAGTTCTTTTTATTTTGGATATATTGTATTTCCTTGATTTGGGATTTGACAGTTTACTTGTTTGCCCTTATGTGTGATTTTGTTTGAATTTTTTTCTAATGTTGGGTGTGCGTGGGTAAGATAGGTTTTTACGTTTCTATTTTTTATTTTTATTTTTTTTGTGAGGATTTAGTGGAGTGATTTATAGGTGGATGATCTTACCCCATTTGTGGTGTTATTGGTGTGGTTTTCGTTCCTATTGTAACATTAACATTAATTAACATCTAAACGTAACACTCCAATATAACACTTCAAAAAAACTCCTTAGTATAACACTTCAAAATAACACACAAAAAAAATTCTTATTGTAACACTCTAATATAACACACAAAAAAACTCATTAGTGTATTTTTTCCAAACGTAACATTCAAATATAACACACAAAAAAACTTATTAATGTAACACTGTAATTTAACACACAAAAATTTTTTAGTGTAACACTCTAATGTAACATACAAAAAAAATATCTTGATGTATTTTTTTTCAAATGTAACACTCTAAAAAAATCCTTAGTGTAACATTCTAATATAACACACAAAAACTCCTTAGTGTAGCATTCTAATGTAACACACAAAAATTTTTTAATGTACTTTTCTAAACGTAACACATCAATATAACACTCCAAAAAAAATTCTTAGTGTAATACTTTAATATAACACACAAAAAAATTCTTTGGTGTACTTTTTTCCAAATGCAACGCTCCAATGTAAAAAACAAAAAAAATTCTTAATGTAATACTTTAATGTAACACACAAAAAAATTCTTTGGTGTACTTTTTTTCAAATGCAACGCTCCAATGTAAAAAACAAAAAAAATTCTTAGTGTACTTTTCCTAAACATAACTCTCCAATGTAACACTAAAAAAAAAAAAAAAATGTGAGATTCTTCAAACCATTTCAAAAAGAGTACAAATATTCCTTAGTAAGTTTTAAACAAATGTATAATTTCAAACCGTGAGTGTTACGTTTAAAAAGAATTTGTTTAATGTTTTTGTGTGTTATATTGGAGTATTACGTTTGAGATTGAACTGATTAAGTGTTACGTTTGGAAAATGTACACTGAGTGTTTTTTTTTTTTTTTTTTTTTTTTTTTTTTTTTTTACATTGAAGCGTTACGTTTAGGAAAAATACAGCAAAATTTTTTTTTGAGTGTTACATTGTTGCGCTTGAGAAAAGTACACCAATGAGTTTTTTTAGTGTGTTAAATTGCAGTGTTACATTATTGGAGTATTACATTAGAGTGTTAGGTTTTTGTTCGTAATGTGGGATTGTTCTAGAATGAGGAAAAATCCAAAACTTCTATAGTTCAAATTGCCCAATTGTGTAATTTTACATTTTGAGAAAACCACTTTTATTCCTAAAAAATTAAATCCAAACATGTAAGTGACTACCCTTTTATGTAATTTTCACTGTAATGGAAACTTTGGGTTTATAAGAAAAAATAAAGGACTAAATCGTTCACAAAATCATATTTTGGAATTTATTAGTGCTTCACCCTTATTAATATACCAATGAGTTATAAAATACTTATTTTATCCCAACACATTTTAAAATATTAAGGGTAAATTACACTGAAATCCCCTGAAATTTATGTTTATTACAGTTCTCTCTCATCTTTTGGAAATTACATCTCTCTCCTTGAGGTTTAAAGTTTTATTATAGATTCTTCCCCTCAGCAATTTAATTTTTTTAAATACCAAATTTTCCCTCATTGAGTAAATTACATTGATATCCCTCACATTTTAGAAATTACAATCCCCTCCCTAAGGTTTAAAGTAGCATTACCAATTGCCCCCTCGGTTAATATTAGTTGAAAAAAAAAAATTCATTGGAAAAAAAATTAATTGAAAACAAAATTAATTGAAAAAAAAATTATTTGAAAAAAAAATTATTTGAAAAACAATTGTTAGTAAAACTTTTAAATTTCTATTTAAAAACCAATGTAAACTCATTTTTGAATTTACATTTTTTTCTCAAATTTGCAAACTGAGACAACAATTTATAAATCAAAAAAATTATCAAACAAGTTTTTATGACAGTTTTTTAAAATTTTTGTAAATATAAATTGAAAACTGAAAACGAAATGGTTACCAAACAGGTTTCAGATGGTAAAAATGTAGTAAAATTAACAAATAATTAAATATGTTACTAACGTAAGAAATGACTTATCAAAAGATTCTTAAGTTATGTATGGTTTGATTTTTAGAATTTTTTTTTTAAAAATTAAAAATTAATTTGGTTAAGAAATAAAAAATAAAAAATAATTATCATTTAAGGGTAAAAAATAATTATCATTTTAACTTTTGGGCAGATTATATACATGCGTATGGTTGTTTCAATTTAATTTGTAAAAAATTATTTATAACCACTCAAAAGATAAAAATTATATAAAAATGATAATTATTATTTTTTATTTCTTAACCAAATTAATTTTTAGTTTTTAAAAAACAATTTCTAAAAATCAAACTATACATAGCCTAAGAATCTTTTGATAAGTCATTTCTTACGTTGGTAACTTATTTAATTATTTGTTAATTTTATGACATTTTTACTATCTGAAGCCTGTTTGATAACCATTTCATTTTCAGTTTTCAATTTATATTTACAAAAATTTTAAAAACTGTTATAAAAACTTGTTTGATAATTTTTTTTGTTTATAAATGGTTGTCTCAGTTTGTAAATTTGAGGAAAAAACGTAAATTCAAAAAATGAGTTTACGTTGGTTTTTAAATAGAAATTTAAAAATTTTACTAACAAAATTTTTTTTCAATGAATTTTTTTTCCAACTAATACTAACTGAGGGGACAATTGGTAATGTTACTTTAAACCTTAGGGAGGGGATTGTAATTTCTAAAATGTGAGGGGTGTCAATGTAATTTACCCAGTGAGGGCAAAATTGGTATTTAAAAAAATAAAATTGCTAAGGGGGAGAATCTGTAATGAAACTTTAAACCTTAGGAAGGAAGATATAATGTTCAAAAGGTGAGGGGAGAAACTGTAATAAATATAAATCTCAGGAGGTGTCAGTATAATTTACCCAAATATTAATAAGTCTGCTTCGCGAGTGGGAGTCGTGCTATTGTTGACTAAGAATAAGATACACTACAACATATAGTATTATTAAGGTATTTTTTGATAATTTTAAAATCGTAATATCAATCTACAAATAGATTTGATTAGATACAAAAAATTGAGTTT